GCCACTTGTGCTCTTATTAACGTGCTTTTTCCCCTTGCAGGTGTCGGCGGTAATTCAGTGGAAAAGAAGATTTATGTGCATCTCAATTACACGACCCCTTGTGTGCGACTGCTCAACGCGACACATCAAATAGGCTGCCAGTGTGAGTAAAGCAACAGATTATAGTGATGTTTAGTATTTGTCTAGTCCGAGATGTATCTGGGTCACTAAAAATACCAGTTTTCACATCGTAAACAGAGAGTGTGTGTCCTCAAGGCATCCGAGCGTCCTCCTTTCACTTGGTTTTTGTTGTAAAATACTTACTATAAATCTGCTAACGCTGTGTGGTTGCTTCAGGGAGTTTTGAAGTTTTGAAACTACACATCGTTTCTGACCTTCAAAGCTGCAGAACTGAGTTTCCAAAGAAGACGAAAAGCACACGAGTTGCAGATGAATCAGGCATTTTAAATATCAAAAGCTGTCAGAAAGCCACAAAAGCAGCCAAATAGTCTTTGTTGCGTCAGAACGTCATAGCAGAAACCTTTTTAGTAAAGCAGAAGAAGCCTGGTGGACACACATTGATTAATAAGCTTTAAAGACATGTTTTATCTAATAATGCTGTTGTTTCACTGATGATAATATGTCATTTCAGCCTCTTTGTCAGGAAATGTGGGTGTGCTCCACGTGCTCGAATCAGAGGATAACCTGGACTGGGTCCTGAACTCTGGTCCCAATCCTCCTTATCTTGTTATCCTGGAGTCCCCGCTCTTTACCAGGTACAGTGAACACGTCTCACCCTGCAGAGGGAGTAGCCACAGCAGTTCTTAATGAGAGTAAAGGGCCTCTCCCTTTCTGTCTTCTCTCTCTGAATCTTTATTACCACATGTTTAATCAATTAAAAAAGAGCCATAAAGTTATAGTGAAGATACGTGCCCAGTAATTCAGTGAGTCCTCAACATTTCTTTCAATTATACAACATGTTTTTTATTTAGAGTAGCAGATTGGAGAGAGGTTATACTATCGGGCATGGCAGTAAAACTCAGTCAGCCATAAGCTGTCAGTAACACAAATGTACAAAATATCGTCTAACCCCGAGGACAGGAAAGTTGAACCCTTGTTTTACTTGTATTTGTACCCGTATCATTTCCACTGCCCCGTGCCGGCTGTCTGCCTGTCAGATCCATCATGATGAAGCTGAAGAACGGCTCCAGGAGAGTGGCTGGCGTTGTTGTTGTGGCGCCAAACGCAAACCCGCTTGAGGGCTTCTCTCCGCACACCACCTGTCCCAACGAGAACTCAGGTGGGTGGGGGTTCGCCTGCTAAGACTTGTCCCTCGGTGTTACACCAGTTACAGAAATTAATTGTGGTTTTTGTGATCCTCAAGAGGGCACAGCTCATAAAAGTAAGAAGCTGTAGTTCGTCCCTTTACTGTGAAATGCCACAAAGGAACCATAAATTCAAGGCTGCATGTGTGACCAGAGTTACTTTTTGAACTGGGCACAAAATGTTGTTTTAACAGTTTGATGTACGGTGCTGTAGGTTTATGTAACGAGACGTCAGTGAATCGGTGCTGCAGCATATTCAAAACATAGTTGTGGAACAATGCAAAAGAGAGTTTATTTAAGTTGCAGATTGTATTTCTTGCCGAAATGCACCTTGGGAGTCGTAGCTACCTTCTCCCTAGAAGTTTTTATGCACACAGGCTTGTAACTTTGACATTTAATAAAAGTATGTATGATATTGTCATGCCTGTGCCCACTAACATTGTTTCTGGAGAATGTGAATTTTGCTTCCAGACCAACTTTGCAACCGTATAGGCTGAATTGAAACTGATAGAATTTATACCGAAGAATAAAATATGTAAAAGTCAACAGCGGTAAATACATTTTTATAAACTCTTTAGATATCAGCCTTGTTCATAAATGATTACACTTTTCATGTGGCTCACTTGTAGAAATGGGGAACGAGGTACCGACACAATTTTTAGCTTCAGTTTATTCTTGTGACTTCTGAAAGCTGCTCATAGTACACGCCTCACGACGGCCTGTTTTAGTGCAACAGCTGCTTCACTCTGTGTTTTTCCCTCAGGCGTGTATACGGAGGACTACGATCCAGCCTTGGCCCATTGTAATATGACAAAGTGGAACCCTTTTGGAAACGGCTTAGCCTATGAGGAGTTTGACTTCCCCATCTTCTCTCTGAAAGACGACAATGACACTCACGTCATACGGCAGGTAATGTGACAGGAAATCAGGTGGAGTTTGCGACAAAAGATGATCTTTTTTTTTGTCTGTTTATCCAATTTGATATAATCGCTTTGTACTTTCCTGTTCCTGCATTGTTCAGCTTTGTTGTCACAGCACAAAATGGCTGTCTGATTGTTTTTGTAGTTGCCTCTGGTGTTGGTGAACAGGAATCCTTTACAAAACAGTACAGTTGCAATAAAACCTGATCTGAACTTGTCCCACTAGTGGTTGAGATTAGGAACGATGCCAACAAAGCCGTTTCAGCAGCACTTAAGCTTCTTTCTAAAGCCAACATGTTGCGGCACATTATGTTGAGACAATTTATCAGAGCCCACAAATCATTAGCTGTTTCCCCAACGTTTAATGTGACAGCAACAGACAGATCGTATTACACAGGTTTTAAATGAACCTCTTCTGATGCAGTGCAGGTGTGCATGTGGTTCTTCTCCTCAGCGGGCGTCATGTTTTGTAACATGGCTGAACCGCTGAATCTTTCAGTTCTGTTTTACCTCAGCTTTCAGTTTCTGCTCACTGCTAATGGTGAACTTCAGATCTGAGAAGCCAGGGTAGATGAGGGGAAACCGTTGTATAAACCCAATAGTTTCACAGCGCAGCTACTGCGTCAGAGTGATACATTTAGTCACCTACGTGGTAGTTTGTTTTTACTGTGCCCTAACCTGCCACTGTGCCCCTGAGCAAGAGCACCAGACTAAATTGTCTATGTTCTAACTTGTTCTAAAGATTGAAAACTATTTGACATTTGTAAAAAAAAATACTAATTGTGGTTTTCAGTGTCTGTTAAACATTCCCACACATGAAGAAGATTTAATATGTGTTTGCTCTTCTCCGTTTGCAGTGTTACATGGAACATAACCGCGCTGTGAACGGCAGCACTCCCCAGTACCCGCTGTGTGCTATGCAGCTGTACTCCCACATGTCCGCCGTCACCAACACGGCCACCTGCATGAGGAGAAATGACATCGACTTCAGCATCAGCCCAGGTATTTACAGAAATATCTACACAACTTTGTCAGGAATAAAATCTATTTCAATTTCATCAATTCTAACCAAAGTCTGTTGTTCGTGTGTCTCCCTTTAGAGATGGTTTGTGACCCGTTGGGTGACTATAATGTTTGGGCTTCTACCAGGCCTATCAACAACACAGCCAAGGGCCACAAGATGTGGGAAAGTGTGGTCATAGCAGCAGCCAGGGTGAGTTACGGGAAAAAGAGTCGAGGCCTATACCTCCATTTCACTACAGTACAACATTTGTTAGTCATTAGCATGCCCATGTGAGTTTATGAAAACCGTTGTTCAGCCAGTATCTCCAGTGATCTCAGTCACTTTGAAAGCTTTCCAGTATAGAAGTCAAGTCCAAGATTAGTCCTGCAATGTATGTCATATGATCTCACAGTCACAGTTAGAGTCCGTGTTACTGGCAGTGTTTTCTGTGCTTTGCTTCTTGTGTCATATGTATAGCTCAAGACAATGAAGATTCAGAAAATGATGAAAACACATATCATAAACAAAGATGCGGTTCACACTATACAAATAGTAGTTACAGGCTAAAGGAAATATATTACACCCAACCTCGAATTAAGAATTCCTATGCAAGTAATCATGTTAACAAGAAAACTGGATACACAAAAGTGTTGACTTGTGAGATCGGTTCGATAAGTTACCTCATAACAGGAAGAAACAAAGTAGATCACCAGTGGAGATCTACAACAAGTCCCCATAGGAAGTACAACATAGTACTTGTTGTACTGTGTAAACATTCACATAATCCTCAAGAGTAAAAATAGAAACCTGGTCAGTACAGCTGGAACCATTAATCATGAATGACTTTGTGGGCGACTGTTCTGATAATAAGAGGTTAAACAAGCAAACATTATTATTCTCTGATATCAGCTGTTCCAATAGGAAGATTTTCTTGTTTTATAGAACTGTAAAATGTATTAGTCAAAAAGACGTTTGAATATTTGAGTTTTAGGGAAATTTGACTATTCATGACTATCATTTTATTTAACTAAATGATTAACCAGTTTAATAATCAGCAGATTGCTTTATAACGAGAATAATTGTTAGTAGCAGTCCCACTGTACATGTCTCTTGAATAAACACAAGTACATTATACAGTTGGTAAACCAAAAGACAAGATAGGCTGCATTTCCTAATAGTTTGAGGCCACATTTTGATTTAATAAAAAATAGGTCATAGCATGTTTAACTGAACTACTTACCTAGATACTATATCTGCTTGATGGATCTCCTCCTCCTCCTCCTCCTCCTCCTCTCCTCTCCTCTCTCCGCAGTTGGACAGCAGGTCTTTTTTCTTTGACATTGCTCCAGGAGCAGACAGTGGAGTCTCTGGGTTCGTCACTTTGCTGGCGGCCGCCCACGCTCTGCGAAACGCCACGCAGGAGGCCCCACCTAACCGCACCATCCTCTACGCCTTCTTTCAAGGGGTCAGCTGTTTTTCCACATCACTGTATGAACACGCTGCATTATATGTTGTACTGCCAGCCTTACTCATGTGTTCTGTACGTTTTATTTGACTGTTTGACTCCAGGAAACCTTTGACTACATTGGCAGTTCGAGGATGGTGTATGATATGCAGAACAATCAGTTTGCCGTGGACCTGGACAATGTTCACTCAGTGCTGGAGATAGGACAGGTGTGTATTGTAGATAGATTGTATGCATGGACCTGCACAGACTGTCAGACTTAAGGCCAATGTATTGCTTTAAAATAGTCAATACTAGCAGCAAGACTAAACCAGAGTTTCTGTACCAACACAAAAACGATGTAGTCAGCCAGCATTTATGATACTTAGTTGTTATTTTGTTGGTTTAAAGAAGCATTAAGGTCTGATTTTTAACCTTACTTTAAGAAATGTAATGAATAATTGAATGTAATTGAATGTTATAGGATTAACATAATGTTTCTGTGTGTGTAATACATCAATATGCTGCATTTGTTCACTATAGGTGGGACTTCATACTGAGTCGAAGCTGTGGCTTCACTCTGATCCTGTGTCTCAGAAGAACAGCAGTGTCAATGATGAGGTTTGTATCCGTGTATATTGAAGAGCTTCCTCTCTTATACAGCACTGCTCCACCACCACCGCAAGACGTGTACAATGATCCCTACAGGGGGAAATTGATAGCATAATGTATCTTAATACCTTTTATAGAGGTGTAATGCAATTATTCAAAAAGATAAGATAAACTTTACTGGGAAATCAATGCATGTACTGTATACAATAAGAAGCATGAAAATGTATTCAGCATATAGAAATAGTAAATACAAAAGTGTATTGTTGAATCAAAAATGAAGTAATAGTAGTTGGACCTTATGTAAGGATAATAAAGTTGAAATAAATTAAGCTTTGAACAAATATTAGAACAAAAACTGGAGCAGATGTGGATCCAGATGCAAATGAACCATAAGCAGTATTATTATATAAAATACTGTGAATATAAAATATGCAGGAACAAATGTGAGGCGCCAAAATCACAGACTTCTGAGTTGGTGATTGGCTGTAAATGTCACACTGTGTGTAGTATTAATGTATAACATTGAGGTTTTGTTTCAGGTGAGGAAGCTCATAGAAAACTTGCAGTCGGCTGCAGGAGGTTTAAACATCTCCGTAGAAGAACCCAGCGCCTCTCAGCCTCTCCCGCCATCGTCCTTCCAGCGTTTCCTACGAGCTCGGCCAATCCCCGGCGTCGTTATTGAGGATCACCAGTCTGCTTTCAGCAATAGGTGATTCGGGGTTTCTTTAAGACACACTGTTACATTTCATTCAATCAGTTGGCATGTTTTGTAAATGTATTTCTTCTGTTCTGTGTGCAGGTTCTATGAGAGTATGTACGATAATGCAGAATACCTGAACATCTCTTACCCACCAAACATGACGCCAGAGGAGCAGCTAGAGTTTGTCACTGACACTGCGAAGGTATTGCTTCTTGATTGAAAATATTACTCTCTGCATATCAACACGCAACGCTTCTATATCAGATTGGATTGCTGTTTGTCTTTTTTTCAGGCTGAAACGTAATAGCAGTTGTTTGGGAAACATCACATTGCTCTTTAACTGTTCAGTAAAATCTGTGCAAAAAGTCACTATATTGGATGTAGTTATGTTGTTGAGTCATTATAAATTAAAAAAATCTTATTTGTTTAATCTATAATGCCTTCTGTGAATAGTTCTCTATATTTTAGCATTATGAGCAGCTTTCTTTTTTCTTTGCTGACTTTTATATTAAAAAAACTTAAAGTTAAAAATATTTAAGCTGTCTTTATGATGCTTCAGTTCAGTCTACTGTTGAATCTCACAAAGATGTCGCTGGGAAGCAGCTAATTAAGATTTTCTGCATTTGTCTTTGTGCATCTTTCAGGCTCTGACTGAGGTGGCCACCATGGTGGCTAAGGCTCTGTACATGCAGGCAGGAGGAGTAGAGCCCCAGCTGAGCACCATTAAGGCAGACGCTCAAATAGTAAGAGTGTTAGATTTCATTTAGGTTTTGATGATAAGAATATGTTTCAAAGCTATTCCTATGTATCGGTCCCTTCCTAATTCCAGTAATGCAGTTTATCCTCTGATTTACAGTATCAGATATTAATTTCTTTCTATTGGTATTACTTTTCCATTTTGTATTTAGGAGTTTATTAACTTGTAGACACTCGTTTTTACTATTCATTATGTCCCCTTCAGACACTTGAAATGTGCCTTTAAATAATTGGTTTTATCATTAATACAAAGACAAAGAAAGGTTTTTTTTTTTTCTGGTCACTTTCTGGAGATATTTCTTTTCAATTCCTATTATTTTTGTGTGTGTCTTTTATTTTGTAACTGAGCAGAAGTGACTCTGTTTCACTGTTTGCTCTCCCTCAGGTGACCCGATTGCTGTACGGTTTCCTTGTTCGGTCAAATAACTCCTGGTTCCAGCAACTAATCCCCTCCGACCTCATGAGCCATCTGTGTAAGTTGGGATACAAGTTCATCTTTTAGACTTTAGACAAAAGTGGCAGAAAATAATAGACTATTAATAACAGCTCATCTTAATACTGTAAGTAATGTTTTTTTGAAGAGAGGTGACAATTTTGATAGCTACATTATTTCCAGACACAAAACTGAATTTCTTCTGTCTTCTGTCTGTCAGCTAACAGGCCCACAAACTTCTATGTCGGCGTGACTCAGCAGTCCAGCGAACCGACCCTTCTGGTCCAGCACCTGCTGGCTAACCTGACCGGTAACACCGTCAACATCACCCAGGAGAACTGCCAGAACCAGAGAGAGGATGAGAACGACAAAGAGAACAAACACGTAAGACAGCAGTCTTCAGCTTGTTAATTTACTTCGACTTAATCTAAAAAATATTTATTCAAAGACAGATCTTAGTATACATTAATATATATATTAAGATCAATCTGTCAGATCAATATTATTTTATCTTTTCTTATGAACCAACTAGAAAAAAGGAAAGAAAGGAAAAATATATTGTAACATAAAACAGGGAAACTTTTACGATTATTTTTATTTTTATTATTGATGCATCCGTTGTTTTAATCAACCAATTATTTTTTTGATTTATTGAATAATT